ATGATTTAGTGTAGTCTTCAAGTCAACACTCCAGTTTCACGCAGTTCTTCAGTGAATACCACCACTCTAATACAATTTTGGACTATTTAATCACTAAATTTCATCATATGAAACTGATATGATCATAAAGAGCAAAGCATGAAAAGCAGGATAGATCCTGCTTTTAGGAATCTTTCTAAGACAACTGTTACTGTGGAATGCAGTCTTCAAAAAGCTGGTCACAGTTCTTCCAGGACCTATGCTTACATTTGCAAGAAGCTAGCTATGAAATTATACATATATTGGCAATAATAAGGCAACAGAATATATTTTGCCCAAATGCGGTAATGGCTGGGAGATGAAAGCCATAGCTCACTATTAACTGCGAACATGCCCAATTAAAGCTTTTTTTGAGACAATTACTTACAATGAATTGTCACTGAGTAATGGCATATTATTCAGTGTTAGAATGTACTTGAGCTGTATTAGTGATCATTTGATTATATATCTTTCAAGAGTTTACTACAGTACTTCTGTTATTCCTATATAGCCTTCATGTTTATAGACATAACTTGCTAAATCTTCCCTGTTGGTTCAGCATTCTGCGTTGCAGAAATGCTTTGTCCTATTCAGTCATTGTCTTGCTGATGCTTCCCCTCCACTCCTAATTTTGAGAGATCATTGATTATCTGTCTATTCCATAAATTATATTCTATTTTGGTTTGCATCCACTTTGCTCATTTAAACCACCATCTTCTTATTTTCATATTAGAGAATATATACGCTGCTCTGAACATTGAGATTAATCTTGCAACCTGTTTTGAAACTATTCTGAATACCCAGGAAAATTTTAGGAAAATAAGCAATTTAACCTTTTCATCTTAAAAGGGCTATATGCATCTGACTTATGTGGATAAATTGTAAATAACGGCTTATTTATTTTTCCTTCATTTCTTGTCTTCCATCCAGGTATGTCATAATATTCTCTGAGGAGTGGAACAAGGCTATACAATTTGGTTTCAAAATCTTCATTCTATTATTTACTGGGAGAAATAAACTATAGCATGAACTTCATGGTTACTTTCTTTACATGTAGGGCTCACAGCTATATCAAAAGAAAGGAAAGCTGCCAAAAAAATCTAACTTCCAACCCCTTTAACTTTTTTTTATTAGGAAATTTATTTAAGACTTAAATAATCATGGTATATAAATTATTTTAAAGACACTACTAATAAAAAAAAGCCAGCCAACCAAAAAAAAAATTGAGTTGTGCCATATTGCAATAATCATTCCACTGTTAAAATCACGTAGAAATAGTAAATGCTCACTAAATTAATATTATGGAAATTAAAAATTTAGACCAATAGAAAATCAGTAATTTGTTACTGTTATATGCTGTTTCTAATGTGACCAATCAGCAGATGGAAAGAATAGAGAGAGGAAAAAGAAAAAACAAAACAAAACAAAACAAAAAACAACAACAAAACAAAAAAACCTGTAGATATAATGATATTCTGGGAAGCAAGTATGGTCTGCTTTTAATCTAGCTGAATAATTGTCTTTAGGTTTGTTTTCCATTGTGAGTTGTTTCTAATTTTGAGGAACAATATACAATGATTTTGAACAATGATATATTCCATTTGTTCTGTTCCTGTGTTCCTCTATCAATGTCTTCAGAAGCTGTTTGTGGAGTGCTGGCTCTCCCAGCGCGGCCATGATCTTGTCGACGTGACCAACCCAGCGTACGAATAAGGGTAAGGTAGGCTCTCCGTCCATACGTCAGAACGCATGGACAGCAACCAATCAGCTATATGTATTCGCTGTGTGCTTTGCTCGTGACCAAAACCGTGACTATAAAAGTCTTGTAAGTCTGCTTAATAAACGAGAATGATCATACTCACATTGAGATTTCGTCGTTACTCCGGGAGGTCCGACTCCCACTCTGACAACTGGTAGCAGAGGATGGTTACTCCCTGTGCCTGCAGCTCCGAGACTGCAGTAAGCATCTAGAGGAGGGGAGTGGGAAAACGGTTGAGGGCAGCTCTGCTCGGGCAAAAGCAGAGCAGACGCCAGAGTGAGGTCGCTCCTCACCCCTCAGATGCAGCATGGATGCTGAAGCTTCAGCTACGTTACTTGCTGGGACCCTCTCTAAGAGAGGGATAGAGACACCAGCGAAACATTGACACCAGCTTATTAAGGTAGGACGACGATGGGGGTTTTTCAATGAAACGCCCTTATTGTTCTCGATTGAGGAATGGAGAGACTTTGGGAGTACTATGTGGCAAAAAACCATTGAGGGGAATGAAAAGAAAAAGAGATTAAGGCGGTTTGTAGTCTTTGGAATACTGTGCTAGAAACATTAAAAGCCTTAAAAGCGAAGCGAGAGGTGGCCTGTGCCGCTGCCACTATGCTGGGACTGGGCGCCACAGTGAAAAAGCCGTTAAACACATCGGGACTGCTCGCGCGTTTTTTTGGTGTGAATGCTGTTAGAGGGATGAAAGGAACTGTGTGCAAGGATATTAGTGAATTGCAAGAAAAGACGGATAATAATGCTTTGAAGGGGATGCGCACTTCTACTGCTGACTCACCGCTGAGTGCACAAAAGGTGGAAGCGACCGAGAGCAGTAAACCAGAGTTCTGGGGAAAGTGCGGAAGTGAGCGTGGTAGACTACCCAGAAAGGGGAGGTGCCCGGCCGAAAGTTAACGCCTCAGGGGAGGGTGGAGGATCGTGCTGACCACAGCCAACTGCCCCGCCCTTAGAAGCAGCTGTTGCGCCGCAAATACCACCCTCCACGACACTGTACCCACCGTTGCCGCCCTCTAGCGGGTCATTGGGATGTACTACGCCGGAGCACTTACAGAATTCAGCGCAGCTTCATTCAGAATTATTGCAAGACGTCATGCGGCGGCTGACAGAGCTAGAAATGCACCAAAAGGAGGCAAACAGTCATCCACCATGCGTACAAAACTCCTCGAATACTTACAAGCCCCCACGATGGAGTGGCATAATAAAAGACGCAATAATTGAAGGGCAATGGAACAGCAAAAATGATCCTTCCAACTTTGCTTTTCCCATTATACAAAGGGACGGAAATGGAATTTGGGAACCTCATGACTGGAAGATTTTGCAGCAAGCCCGAAATACAGTAACTACTTATGGTGTGAAATCAGAAGCAACACGTCAAATTGTAAGATGGATGTTTACTGCAGACCTTATGGCTCCATACGACAGTCAAAACCTAATGCGACTGCTACTCACACCCACGCAATTTTTGTTATGGACAACTTTGTGGCACAGCGAGCTGCTAATGCTGCAGCTCAGAGGCAAGGGGATGGAGATCCTCTCCATGGAGTTATGGCTGATATGCTAACAGGTCAAGGACCGTATAGTAGTATCCAAGTGCAGGTGACCTTCCCGGCGGGCATGCTACAGCTTTCCGCTCAAACAGCAATGGAAGCCTTTCTTGACTTACCGGGGCTCCAATACGCCGTCATTTGGCAGTCTCACCCAAGGAGTAACCGAGAAATATAGTCACTTTGTGGATCGACTCTGGGAAGGAATAATGAACCACCCTGATCTGTCAGGGAATAGTAAGGAGCAAATGTTCCAGATATTAGCCTTTGACAATGCGAACAAGACTACAAAACAGTTGCTGGCCAGCCTACCCAAAGGCGCTGGGGTAGAAGAAATGCTCCTTAGAGTAAAGAGAGCCAAAGCCCAGCGACATGGAAACACAGTTGCAGCAGCAGTCCAGAGTGCCGTCCGTGAAGTTGTAAAGCCCCTTGCAGCCGTCACCCAAACAGGACAAAGACACTCATCTAAGCAAGGGTCTAGGCAGCCACTCGAGCCACCCTTTCGAGGAAAATGTTACCGATGCGGAGAGACGGGTCATATGAAAACCAATTGCCGAGCCACCGTTTGGTGTGACCGATGCCAAAGGGATTCCTGTGCTTCCAAAGCTTGTATGGGAAACTCCAAGCCGAGCGCAGAACGAGGCCGCGCGACGACACAAATGACTCCTCAGGGCGAAACACAGGTTTTTTATCACAGCAACAGCCAGCCACCCAAGGAAGCTTGGGTTTCGACCTGGAAACTGCAGTAGATGTCACCTTAATAGACACTAAGGTCCAGAAGATTCCCAGTACTGCTGTAAGACTTCTTTATAACAAGGACAGTGGAATTGGCGGATTACTAGTTGGACGATCTTCTGCTGGAGTAAAAGGACTTCTTGTTTTACCAGGAGTTATTGACACCGACTATGCGGGTCGCATCTATATCATGGTTCATACTGTCAGTCCACCTATGCATATTCCTAAAGGAAGTAGAATAGCCCAGATCGTTCCCTTGCAAAACCCCTTGAGTCCCTTGACACGAACAGCAGTGTACAGAGGAGACCAAGGTTTCGGATCATCTGGAGCAGCTGTCTGTTTCTCAGTAAAGATGGAACAATGGCCTATGATGAGAATAACGATGTCACAGCAAGGAAAGGCACAGAACATCAATGCCATGTTAGATACAGGAGCAGACGTCACCATTATCAGCCAGAAAGTATGGCCGAAGATGTGGCAAACAGAAGTACCACTCTCAGGGATTGCGGGAGTAGGGGGTCATTCTACACCCAAAGTCAGCATGGAACTAGTCCAATTGCAATTTCCTGAGGGACAGCAAATTAGTCTTAGAGTATATGTGATGGCCCTACCCGGGACCCTCAAGGCACTAATCGGTCGAGATGCCTTGGGCCAACTAGGTGCAGTCTTGTCAATGAAACCTTTTTGATAGCGGGCACTGGAGAGCAGTCGCCTAAACCACGCCTAACCTGGACTACCAATGAACCTGTGTGGGTTGACCAGTGGCCCATGACATCAGAGCGACTGCAAGTAGCTCGTCAGCTAGTAGAAGAACAGCTTAAGGCCGGACATATAAAACCTTCAGTTAGTCCATGGAACACCCCTATCTTTGTTATTCCAAAAAAGAGCGGCAAATGGAGACTTTTGCATGATCTACGAAAGTCAACGATCAAATGCAACCCATGGGAGCTCTACAGCCTGGTATGCCATCTCCTTGTATGCTGCCGGAAAAGTGGCACATATTGATCATTGACTTGAAGGACTGTTTTTTCACGATCCCATTACATCCTCTAGACACCGAACGTTTCGCCTTTTCGATGCTGTCAACGAACAAAGCCAGCCCAGCAGAACGATATGAATGGGTTGTCCTACCACAAGGCATGAAAAACTCACCTACCTTATGTCAACTTTACGTTGCATGGGCCCTTCGGCCAATACGTCGTCAATGGCTGCACACCATTATCTATCATTACATGGATGACATTCTTTGTTGTCAGAAAGAGCCATTCTCGGAACAGTCTGTGAAACAACTACAGGAGGTGCTGGCTCAAAAAGGACTTGTTGTGGCTCCTGAAAAGACTCAACGTGCGTTCCCTTGGAAATACCTAGGGTGGACAATTTCCGATTCACAAATTCGACCGCAGAAAATAGACCTTAATACCCAGTTGACAAATTTAACGGATGTGCAAACATTATTGGGAGATGTTAAGTGGGTTTGGAACTGTGTGGGTGTCAACAATGAAGACATTGCACCTTTGACAACACTCCTGCGAGGCACAAATCCTGCAGAACAAGTGACGTGACAACAGGAGCACCACCAAGCCTTACAACGCATCGTGAACAAATTGCAGTCTGCGTGGTCTTCACGACGC